TCACGTAATATTGCAAAAGCACGATAACACGGTATGGAAAAGGCTCAAGAATAACTTGTTCAGTGTAGCGTATTTTAGGCAGGAAAGGCGAGTGAACCACTCAGCACCATTATATCAAACACCAAAGTTCGATGGGTGGAGCACGTGTTGCGCATGCAAGTCCACCGACTACCGCGATATGCACAGTTTGCACGCCGCGGGTGTGGATGGAAAAACGGGAAGCCAAGCAAAGATTTAATCAAGAGGAATGAAGTCCCTCGCTTTTATGCTGGCGTCGGTTGGTGTCTCCTGACTGCAACATTCAACATCGTCCAACATCATCAACAACAGCAGTACCTCAGTCATTTGAACTGATGCTTCTCTGCCATACAACCTAAATAAAGAACATTAATACCCTAAGCAAACATTCTGGATCAAGACGCCTACACCTTGCGTAGACAACATACCGTTACAAACAGCTGGCTATCGTGCAAAGATAAGGCGGCATCGGCGAGACAGCTTCCTTGCGGCTTTCACTGCCCCGCGTCATAATCAGCCATTACCCCGCAGATAACTCAGCACCAAACACACTTTAAACAGACAATCCGAGTAAGAGACGGTTGCGAGCCATGTCCTGTAAAGTCTCGAGCCAAGCACAAGGTGAGTCACGTGGACTCTAGCAAGGAAGCCGAGACGGACGAACGGCACCCAGGTTCATCATCAATAACTTCATTTCCTGCTGCCAAGTCAACTGCTGTCCACCTCCAGCTTTGCGCCACCCTTCACTTGACAGACTAAACAAGGTCCTCCTAGGTAAGCGGTGACCAGGCATACGTAGCACGTGCCCGAGCCAACGCAACTTATTCAGTGCAAGCTGTTGTTCTAGGGAGCTAGCATGATCATCACCACCTAGTACTCGTCTACGCACATCATCGTTGTAGACACGCTGGTGCCATCCGACACCAGAAATGCTTCGCAGACAAGGATGATCAAAGACTTTAAAGCACCTCAGATCTTCAGACAGAAGGGGTGTCTCACTGCCATAAAGCAGAACGGCCCTCACTGTGGCCTTGTATACACGGCCTTTCAGACGGAGGGAAACTCCCTTCTGTCGCCAAAGATGACGCAGGTTCAAGAAGGCAGCTCTGGCCCTTGCAACGCGTGAGCTGACGTCAGTTTCTATGTGTCCATCATTGCTGATACAGCTGCCAAGATAAGTGAATTGATCAACCACCTCGAGTTCCTCGTTAGTAAGGGTCAATCGGTTATAAAGTGGATGGTGGTCCTGCAGCAACACTTTGAAGGTGCTAAGTGCATACCAAATAATGGGGCCACTACAGAGAGGCTATTCAGGGTTGATTGTGCCGCCACAACATTGTCGAAAAGCAAGACGATATCGTCCGCATAATCTAGATCAACTAACCTTTCACTAGACAGCACTTCAATGCCTACATCGTGAGATTCCGCAAGGGAACACTCCATGATAGAATCCACGACGAAATTGAACAAAAACGGGGAAATCGGACAACCCTGACGAACGCCACTTGTGGTCGGAAAGCTATCCGATAGGGCACCATAGACCCGAAGGCGGCCTGTAGTGTTCGAGTATAGAGCACGAAGGATGTTCACATATCTCGTGGGAACACCTTTCCGCGCAAGTATTTCGAACAGAATCGATCGATCGACTGAATCGAACGCACTCTTGAAATCAAGGAACACAGCTATTGTCGGTCTGATGTATGCGTGGCGCTGCTCTAACGCCTGCCGCAAAGTGAACATATGGTCTATACAGCCACGTCCTGGACGGAAACCGGCCTGCTCTAATCCGAGATTCCCGTTCTGCAGTGAGGCGACGAACGATAATCGAGGCCAGTAATTTTGTCACAACTGGCGTTAGGCTAATACCCCTGTGGTTAGAACAGTCCGTGCGACTGCCCTTCTTGTATATTGCCACTATAATCGATTCGTACCAACCAGCCGGAAGACTCTCTTCATTCCAGATACGTTCGAATAAGGTCAGTGCTATGCAGAGGACCTCACATCCATGCTTAAATAGTGCAGATGGGAGGGAATCCGGGCCAGCGGTACGAAAACGATTGAGGGCTGTGATCGCGTTTCGGACCTCGGCCTCCGACGGAGGCTCTAAACTAACCGTCCATGGCTCGTCCTGCATCACCTGAGTAGGAAGAGATCCGGGAGCAGGGGGCCAGCTGATCTTGAAAGTGTTCCGCCCAACGAGCCACACGACGCTCCTTATTGTGTATCAGCGCACCCGCGCGGTCAATGATAGTCTCACTGACCCCCAGTTTCCAGGGATCAGGTGGAAGAGCTTGCAGTAATTGCCTATCGCTCCTGCCTCCTCCATTTCTTGTGCCCGACTGGTCCACTAGGCTCCCTTGTCAGCACATAGGCTCCGCTTTAGTTCACGCCTAATAGCCCGTCTGGTCACATTGTGTTCAGAACCAGCCGGGAGGTGTCTTCTAGCATCCGAAAGGTTCACGGACCTCTCGGATATCCAGTGACTGGTGCGGTGACGATGGATAGTGCCACAAACAGATGATCCTGCGTCGTGCATGACGGCTGTGATCCTATTCCACTGAAGCTCAGTGTCATTAGGGCAAGACAGCGGGAGTTCGGTATGCAGTGCTTCTTGATAGGCTTGCCTGACCGAGGACTGAGACAATCTCTCCGTTGCCAATCGGGGGAGACGCTTGGTGCGCCTCCCGATAAAGTTCCTGGAGAAACGACAGCATCCCAATGCATGATCAGAGTCGACACAGGTACTCCAGTACGAGCGGCAATCCAGGATGGAATCACGCCATCTGTAACTTATGGCTATGTGGTCAATTTGGGTCCATCGCTGGCCAGCTACAGGAGGACGCCAAGTGGCACGTCGGCGCACACTGTGTCTAAAAGCAGTGCTAGTAAGAAACAACTGGCGCTCCGCACACAGTTGCAGCAGACGCTCACCGTTGTCAGTCCGTTCGGAGTTAAGCCCACAATTACCACCCAGCTGAGCTTCTGAAGAGCTCAGACGCCCTACTTGTGCGTTCATATCCCCTGCAAGTACTATAATATCTGAACTATTAGCACTGCGCAGTAGCGCGTTCAGTTCGTCATGGAATATGTCCTTGACAGCATTAGAACTGCAGTCAGTGGGAACATAAGCGGAAATCAAAAACAAACATCGTATTGTACTGCTTCGTGAATCAACCCTGGCTGATGTCATCAAACGTGCTGCACATAAACGGCTGTTCACCTGAATCCAATCAACCAACGATGACAGCCTTGGAGCTGAGAATGATACCTACACCAGCTTGACCTGTGAGTGCCGCATCGGCGTCTCCGGATGTGTGCCACCAATAACGAGAGGATAAGCCTGGTGCAGTCAATTCAATAACCCCGTTAGGGTCATTGATCCTAGTTTCGGATACACAACACACATCAACACCCAGTGTGTCCAAGGTGCGTGCGAGTGCAGTCTGCTGACCTGTTCGTCTTAGAGTGCGGACGTTGAATGTCGCCATGAAAACGGGACAGCGTGGCCTTATAAGGAACTTTTGCCGATAGGTGCTGTGGGATGGTGGCTGCAGATGGTTCTACTCCAGTAGCACTTCGGTTGCTGTCAATTAAGCTGGGAATTATAGAAGGAAGATTAGTAATGGGGGTCGGGATGGGAGTAAGAGAAAAAGGTGGAAAAGAAAGAAGGGAGGCGCCAGCAGTAGCATATTTTCGCTTATCCGCCCTGCTGTATGCAGCAGATAAGGCGACCCTTGATAATCTGCGCGACGGCCGATGCAGGATGAAGTTTATTTTTGAAGAAAAAGTCATGGTTGTATGTGGGCTGAGATATTGTCAGGGCGCCCAGACTTAGACAGGAGGACGACTAGGGTCCTCATCCAAAGCCTTTGGCTCAAAAGCCTGTCCGCAAGGCAACGGGGAGGTGGCAATGATTTAGTTTTACAGAAATGGACGCCATCCCATTTCAAACCCCCAACCTGGAGGACCAGGAGACTGAGTTTGTCTGACGTCTCACCATTGACCAACCTGAAGGTGCCCGCAGGCACCAGCCAGTATAGTTCTATGGGTCAAGGAGGTACGCAAACCGTCGCACCACGTTAAGGTCCAGTCTCGTTGCGACGGAGGCTGTGGTCCGACGTACGATGAATACATTTGATTGGATATACTAGTTGGCATGGCGAAAAGCAGAACTCATTGGAGTTTATGTTGTGGGTTTCTTTGTCCCTCCCCTCCAACGAGCTCACGCTGCATGGCTAATAGGACAGTTAGGACTATTTTACTTAATTTTTGGTTTTCGCACTCTGCAATGGTTAGTAGATCGGTTTCCATAGATTTTATCTTTTAGATTCAGGCACTGCTACCTAAAGTTTGTTTCTCACCTTTTCTAATGTGTAGTGATGATGATGACAAGTATGATTTGTTAGGTGTATCGCCCAAACGACATAAGTGTCATATTGGCCGCCAAATGATGACGCAAGTGTGAATTGCGTACAACGGCAGACATGCACAGACAGTCACCGTGGTTGTACAGCAGCGAAGTATCAACCAAATGGCTGATGTACTGCTGTTGTTTATGATGAAACTGCATACAAACGATTGAAATAATCGAAACTGGAGCCCAGCGGTGTTGTTCGCGGTGGAGTGGGAACAGAGTATCAGGAAGTTAACGAATGAAAAGGCGCCAAGTTACCCTTCAACAGTGACAACGTGGCATTTGTGGTCGGCATATTGTTCATTTGCGTAAGTCCAGTAAGAAGTGAAGCAGCAAGAATACATTCAGACATCAGTGACTACTTACTAGTGAGAATTAGACAGTACGAGTGTATTTCAGAGATAAGATAAGGGCGCATTCGACAAATTCACTGGGTCGAATGATGTTCCCGATATCTCTCTTATCCACTATCTCTGCTAAATGACTGTGGATATGCGCCTAATAGCATGGAACTTGATGAGTTGGCCAAGTGACTACGAAGAAAACCGAGAAAATCACAGAGACTTACGTAATGGCCTGAGTTAGAATATCTTCTTCTATAATAGTCTGGTGCATCTGGCGGGCAAGATGCAGAGGAGAAACGACAAGTGGATTACCATCTGTAGCCATGGGATGTGGATTAGCTCCATAAGTCAGAAGCAGCCTGGAGCAATGGACCCAGCCACGTCGAGTGGCCTGAATAGAAAGAGTACAAAGCGGACGCATAAGACAATAACTATGCTCACACAGGATAATGTAAAAAGTATTGTAAGTGGACAAGACAACTAAGTCTGACAGGCCGAGTATATCACAGATGCATGTGAACCCAAACAGCAGCCGGCTACGCTTCAATCACTTTCTAGTCGTCATGGACATGAAAGATGGAGGACCTTGAGGAGCACGGTGCTCCCATTTAGGGAGACAACACATCCTAATCTAGCCATCTTTTGGTTTTTCTCAAAAAGGAGGTTCACTATGAATGTATAAACGCCGAGATGGCCGACCGGTAATCATAGGAAAGATATGATATGATAAGTATCATGATTCGGACTTAACAGATGCTCCTGTGGTCCCAAAGGGTCATCCACCAGGTATGAACAGGAGGACTTCGTTATTGCTCGCACTAGGTATGAGTAATAGTTAGCAAATACTGATGATCGGATACAGCCGCTTTGTCGATTTTCTAAGCAGATTTTGGCTAGACACTGAGACTAGCCGCAGAGTAGTCGTACACGACACGGATCGATAGGCTGATGAATTACTGTTATAGCTATAACAATTATCTGTCCTATAAGTGATTTAAATTTTGTAAAGACAAGTAGGCCCTATGGATGTGCGCGACAGTCACAAAAGCTGATACAAGGTGATACTTAGTTAGATGAGTCAACTTCGACAATGCTGAAAACCAACAGCGAGTACGCCCATTTGTGCGGTATGGCCTTGAACTTTGGTTTACAAGTCGCATGGCTTGGTGTCCTGTGTCACAACACTCAGAAGCACTTGCATAGCGTTTGCACCGAAATACTCAGTCAGTCGTTCAGTTAGACTTCCAGTGAAGAAGAGACAGAAAGGACAATAATTCGTTACTATCTCGACCACAGCGCATACGACCGAAATTCCGTATTCAATGGCAACATCCCGTGGCACCACGATTGCAGTCTACCCGCAATAGAACATTCTCGGTCGTTTTATCCCGATCGACACCTTAAACTCGTCTCTCAGTGCAACATGCCACAACAGTAAATCTAAAGTGGAGGAAGAGCGATGCGATTCGCATATAAACGTAGTATAATGAAATAGTGAAAATAGTCACTTACTCGGGCCAAGGCTGTTTCGCCCATCCGAGTCAAAAGGTTCATGCTTGCACCTGCGTTCAATAAAACAGCCAGAACGTTCCAGTGACCCTAGTAAGTAATAAAGAGAAGTAGTCATTATCCGGCTACCAACAGTATATGATGAAAAACACCGCAGCATTGTTAAAAGAGATGACTAAGGGGACAGCATTACGAAAGTACATCAGTCAACAGGTTTGAAGGTAAAATGACGGGTTCAGGTAAGCGCAGTGGAGTAGGTACATCGAAACGCGAAAACCGAGATGCGACAAACAGTCGCCGTGGAACCCAGTGACTAGAAGGTAGCTTGCAATAACTAAAAGGAATTAGCGAGCAGAAACTGTGCTTCTGACGTAGGGATCAGGAGTTAGACACAAATTGTGATTAAGATCGAAAATCTGACGAGGATCCTAAACAAAGAATTCAGTGGGTACATTTCTGTAGCCTCTCATGCGGCAAGGAGGTTTCAGGATGAACACGAGCCCCTCAGGCGAGTCTTTTGCCGCAAACACACGCGGTCGACTGAAGTAAAGATAACTTTCTAGTCACCAAGAACCACTAGGATATATAGTTCCTGGATACGATAATGCTGACGCACCTGACAAAGAGCAAACTGGTGATAAACAGTATGAAGCTAGGCTGACTTTCACTTAATCGACTCTCATGAGGGCCGACGAACTTCTGATTTCGATAGGTGATTAGCATGAGCAATCAATACCCACAACTGCCACGATGACTTCCTCTTATGGACTTGTGAATTTTGGAAGAAGTGTCTATAGCATTCATCTTCGATGATCTGGGAAAAACACTTAATAGCAGCATAGATGGAAATAACGAAGAGGCATCTTGCCTTCGGACTCGATCTAGTAACCTCCATTGAGTCCCGAAAGCGAGTAGTGAATGTAGCCTAACGGCCAACCTGACAGTGTGTTGAAAGGCCCATTGTGGAATACGACCAAAGGTTTGAAACACTCGCGCGACGCGAATCCGCCCAATGGGCACTTTAGATGAACCAAGAGTGATTTAAGTTGCTTAGTGGTGCGTCTGACAGAGTGGCTTCTCACTAGTTTACGTGAGAGGGGAAAACTTGAGAACGAAAGGGAACGGAAAAGGAGAAAAGCCTGCAGGGGATGGCGACTGGTGGCCAGAGATGAGACACACCTTGATGTTGACCACGTTGTGTTATTCTTATCTCGATCAGTCGCTTATTTTAGCGTGCATTTTTCAGACACTGCGTTCAGCTGCGTGAAACTCCAGAGTGGCCAACCGATGACATGAAAGAGGCAGTCAGCAAACTTTTTCAAAGATCGGATTATGGTGCTCCCTACTGTCTAAGTAGATAGGAATACTCGGATACGCCATATAAAATGTTACAGACAAACTAAGCATGGTGAAGTCAAAAATTCTGTCGAGCTTTTGTAATCAACCCCTTGCTTTAAACGGTTAATCTGTCAATTTCTAAAGTATGTTCAATCTCCAACCGATTTGGATTTTGCGCTCATTCGCTTGATTCCTATCCGTTCTCTGCTTTCCATCGCTGTCAAGTCAATTTATCGCGATGACTCAAACCAAAGTAGTCTTTAGCTCGAAAGTAGAGATGAAGAAATTTAGCACATTATGCATTGGAGTACCACCGAACCGAAAAATAGCCACTAAGTGCGCGCATAACCAGTGAGGATATTATAGAGTAGCAACACGGAGATACTTTCGAACATGTGACAAAGCACTCCGGCCCCATAACTGCCTAGGTGCAAAAAAATAAAACAGGAGCTCGAAACATAGAAAGTGAAAACCTAACTGAAAGAACTGATCAATTATACTCATGAATGTAACCGAAAATTCCAAATTGGCAATCCGTTATTCGGTGAGGACACACGTATCGTAGCTGAGTGGAACAGCACAAAATGAAAAACCGCAATCGAGGGTATTTTATTTTTTTTCACGCTCATCACCAAGAAACCCATGCTGACAACACGAAGTAGTTAAGGTAAGGGTTCCACAATAGATATGATGACGCTCATCACCATTACCAGTTCTCTTCACCAACTCATCTGCAAACTTTAGCGTGGAGCCTTTTCCGGAACAGTAAAACAAGAAATATCACAAAGGAAATTAGCCAGATAACAGATGTGAACCAAAGAGCACTACTGAGGTACGCTTAACATTCCAGGATAATCCTGTTGTGCCACCGAGCTGCATGATAAAGCAATCAAAGATGATCGGGATATGGGACTTCAAGCGTGAATATTCACCAGATGTTTTCAAAATCAAACCACAACAATGCTAGATAACAGGCGCAAGAAAGCACAATGACAGTGACTTACATTATCGGCTGCACATATAAGCGGTGTGGAATCGTCCGAAGCGCGAACATTCACATCGGCGCCATGCCTGAGTAACAAGCCAACAACGTCCGCGTATCCTGTAAAACGGAATTTTTATGTGCCAACATAAAGTAGACGGTGTGCGAGGACACTCAGCTAAGTAAGGAGCCCACAACCATCGTGATGAAACGAGTGGAAAGCAGACACCGGAAGGTGAGATTAGGATGTTGGAAGAAAGTGAGATGACAAAACAAACACCAAGATCAAAATCAAAAGGCAACCAGCGCTTTGATGAGTACTCAGGTGATACATACATTCGATGTAAGCAAGCCTAACAATGAGTATTGCTTAGGAGGCGAAGTAGCATTGTAACCAGAAGAGTAGGCTAAGGATGAAATGTGACTAGGTGAATCAGCTATTAGAGAAGTCGTAGGATTATGATTCAGTTCGCTTCTAGAACACCAAGGGCGTTACGTGGATCAAAATTAGTGTTCCGATACGCCCTAGTAAGGTCACATTTCCATAGTTTTCAAACCAGTTAACAAACAACTGGTCAATGGCTAAGGGTCGACCGAACCCATTCCAACATTATGCTCTAAGTCAGCCAGCCATAGGAGGCAACGGGTTTTGAGCTTACTAAGTGTAGCCATCATTATCATTCTACACCTTAGCTAGAGAAGGAAAACGCCTAAGCTACCGTGCCTAAATACATAGAAGAAAAACATACAACACATGCATGCCAGTTGAGCTACCAGAAACAGATGGGCATTATTCCGAATAGCTACCAGCCGGCTACTATGCAGCAAAAACAGTTTATTATGTAAAACTTGTATTATACGGAAAAATGAGATCGCGGTTGGAAGGACAGGGACAAAGAAACTCACAACACGAACGCCACTGAGGCCGGCTCCTAGCCATGTCAGCAAGTGTATCCAGTCTAACCTGTTCGTCGTCTTTTGGACCCCGACCAGGGAGCCGAGAGGCTCCAACCGAAGCCAACATCGTAGTAAGGACCTCCACTTCTCTCAATCAAGACATTGCTTGGCCGCCCTTCCTCATCTTCCATCCACAACCTCGGTGCGCAAATAATGCACATCGCAGGAGTCGGTGGGCTGACATGCGCAACATGTAGCCGAGCCATCGATTACAATAAGTGTAGCACCCTAGTCAGCGAGACTGAAAGGAGAGCTACTGAACACACCTACCCTCTCAATCGCTCAGTAACACACAATACATCTTGTTCAATCATGCTAATCGGACAAGTTTAGGCACTTCACCCCGCCTTAACTTCTCTCTCTGAGCACAATCCTTCACATGAAACGGCTAACGCAGTTGTAACTCTAATCACTCATGAGGAGCCACATAAATGTATGAATTCTAACATTCTCCGTCATCCCAATCCACTCAACGTGCATCGCATTTCTGTAATCGTTTAATTCTAGCGTTCATCCACGATTTTAGATTACTTGTATGATTTGGCTCGACGGCTCCAACTTTTGTCCCCGTTCATGAACCCGCTGCCATTATGGTCCCCCCACCCCGCCCGATATGGGCCGTAACGAACCAACTGAGAATGCCCGTGAACTGGTGGAAAATTACGGTGAAAACACCGATGGGACATTTTCACAAAAATGCCCCAATTGTATCCCCGCATAGATCCAAAACATCTACAGGTTCGCATGCGTAAGCATTTAGCACGTGTAAATATGCACCATGCCTTTGTGGGCACGATGTTTCGGTACTACAAGAAATACACCATTTCGTGAATATGTGCACGGGTGTTCTCCGAGTTCGGTAATCTGGTTGCAGACGTTTGGTCATAAGGTTAGGTAAGAGTGGTGCACCTTCAGGAACATGACTAACCAACTCTCCTGACTTGCCTGTATTTTCAGACATGTCAATACTTTCAGCATTCTCAATGATGCCTCCTTGTCCCATCGACCTCAGGCCGTGCAAGAAAGGGCTTAGCACGAGGTTACAGGGGCATAGTCTGGTCATCCGATTGCATGAGCAGGACTTGCTAATGTCAATGCGCATGGATGTCGAAAATAACCAATTTGATCCAGAGAATGGCAAGATAATAGGAAGAGCAAGGGGTTGGAAAGTGTGGGAGTTCATTGAATTTCGGTACTCGGGACAGAACTCGGTCAAACAGCGCCAGGAGTTGGAAACCGTATCCAAAGCGCAGCGGGTCAAACCAGCAATCGACTCAGGTCGACGGGACAAAGGAATGGTTAGTGAATAAGATGACTTCTTATCGGGAAGAAAAGCGTCAGAAACGTAGGTAAACCATTTCCCTGAAGTTGTATTGATGATGTTACCAATTCAGTGGGGTAAACGACTTCCATAAGCTTTTTCATGACACATGGAAGTCGGCTCGGGTGAACATTCGGCTCATTCACCATGTTCACTAATAGGGGCATCAGCAGTACGCCGATACGCCGTACTGACGTTTCGCTGCCACGCAACCACCACCAGTCGCACGTGGGCCAAGGATGCTGCGAGGGTCACTCGGTCCCCTGCGCAGGCTCGGACCCGCGACCTCCGGTTTGCAGAACAGACGCCTTATCCTATCGGCCAAGGGTCGACATGTTCACTAATCACGACTGACGTTCCTAGTCGAGAGGATAGTCCCACTTAGTAGTGAAAGTTCAGCTGGCAAGTGTAAATCCCCAATGGTGGGTGCTTCACTGAAGTCGGAAATGTTAGTATCGTGGCAGCACGGAACAAGACATATCTAACGTCTATATAAGTACTCCAAGTCGACCAGCAATCATGCTTTGGGGAACATCTGCAGCTGATACCGATGCTGCATTCCTTAGCCCATTAGGTCCTGTGCTCGCTGATTTCTTCATGCTAATGGTAGAAAGAAGCATTTCTACGGAAATAGCCCAAGTGCCCTACTACAAACGATATGTCGATGATATCTTGGCTTTCTGTTCGTCGGAGCAGCAGCTCACACATTTGGTAGAACAGCTCAATGGTGCTCATGCTAACTTACGGGTTATATGCGAAATAGAACAGAACAATTGTCTGCCATACCTGGACATATTCATAAGTCGCAGAAATGATGGATTGATTAAGAGGTCCATTTACCGAAAATCAACTTGGTTCGGTTAGTACCTGCACCTCACCAGATTCACACCAGTGCGGTACAAACGGACACTTGTGAAGACTCTAGTTAGTCGTGACAGATGAATTTGTTCGGCCGACTGTCTAGACGATGAACTAGTGTTAATTACAACAACACTAATGGCGAACGGCTACCCTCGAAGATTTATCGAGAAACACAGTCAACCGCGAGGGCCAAAGGACTTGGTGCACACGGCAGCCAAGAAGAAAGTGTATATCGAGTTATCTTTCATAGGTGACTTAGCCACGCTGAAAACAACTAAGCGTATAATTTCGGCTACACAAGGAAGTTACTATGCTGCACAAGCTGTCATCATCAATCGAACCCGAAATTTGCCCATACCTCCAACGAAGGAAGCTCAGCTTATTGAGGCCAACTCACACTGTTTATACCAATTTGTATGTGACTGTGGAAAAAGTTACACAGACAGAACTAATAGAACGCTGACTTCCCGAATAAAGGAACATGTACCAAGATGGGTTCAACGTGAAGTTGCTCAGATTGCCTACCCTCGCCAGATTCCATGTTCGCACAGACCGCCGGCTTCCTCGATAGGGAAACAGCTATTAGACTCGAGTTACCAGCTAGAGCTGGGCTCAACGTCTAAAGTGGTGTTACACTAATCCCCGCTTCTTTCGGTTTGCTGAGACTGTCACTATAAGCCGGATTAAACCAGCCTTGTGTGTTCAGAAACAATCGTGTCAGCCTAAAGCTGCTTTGGACGTAGGTGTGAACTTCCGTCATTCGTTTTGCACCTTAAGCTTGTCTGGTTGCATCCACTGTTAGCTATATCTATGCATATCGGTTAATGTTAATGGTACTGATGAGACAATACGAAATGCCTGCATCTACCAGCCTTCTCTCCGTGCTTTTCAAATTGATGAAGGGAATTAATTGCTTTAAACAATGAATTTGTCCAGGTATGCAGATGCTCCAATGACATCTGTTAGCATTGTGTCAATATTCTGCTGGAATATGGCTGGTGCCGACTTGACTCCAAACGGGAGGCGGTGGTAATGGTACAAACCCTGGTGCGTATTAATGGTGAGTAATTCTCATGTAGCTCCATGTACCTCGGTCTGCAAGTATACATGGGAGAGATCCAGTTTCGCGAAATACTTATCTCCATTCAATGTCGCGAACAAATAATCTGGAAGCGGTAAATGGTATTGATGGGCATTTAATGCAGCATTTAGACCCATCAAGAAATCGGCTCATATTCGGATCTGACCGTTTGGGTTTGTGATCACGACAATGGGTGCCGCACAAGATGTGTAGTTCACCGAAAGGATTACGCCAGCTCTCTCTAAGCGATCCAGCTCCTGGTCAACAATTGATGTTGCTACGTAAGGTACAGGGTGTCTAGTACGAAACACTGGAACACCATCGGGTTTAATAGGCAGTGAAGCTTGTACTTTGGTGCACTTACCGAGGCCTTCGCGAAAGAATGCTGCATGTTTCTCTCGTAGGCGCTCGATGGCTCGCTTTAGGAGCTGTTAACTAGTGTATCTGGACACTTGCACAAAGCTCATCGATCGGAATATCAAGCAGATTGAAACACTCGATCCAATCCAGACCCAGAAGATTCAAATTCTAGTGGCTGGTGAGAAAAATCGTTCCCCATGCGGTAAAGTCGGCATAACGGCACTCACAGTCGGTCTGACCAAGCAATTTCAACTCGGCATCTGATGCACTTCTCGCCTGCTGACTGGTAGGCTTGGAATTTGGCGATCCAACAATCATCCACAGCCTTTCTGATATGACCGTGATGCCTCAGGTCGTATCGATCTGCAAACGCGCTTGTCTTCCGTTGATGTTGATGTACGCTATGGGCTCTACAAAATCGTCAGTAAAATTGGCGTCCACTCTTCGCAAAGTGACCGTAGGTTTTCTTTCGAGAAGCATTTCCTCCCTGCGGGGCTCGCAGGACGGCTTTTCTCGCTCTATTTGACAGGCCAGTTTGTA